TGGTCTGATGTTGATGGTTACTTGGAAGGTGAAGATGGCCGTAATGATGATGACGGTGATTGGACTGATGAAGAAGGAGAAGAAGATGTACCTCCTAACTTTGATGATGATGAAGAAGATAGTGTGAAGATTGGATCGAGTCCTTCGAGTAGAAAATCAAGTAGTCCTAGAAAGAAGGAAGAGAAAGTACTTACTCCTGTGTTCCCTGATGGTACTCCAAGAGAAAAGTGGTAGATCATTACAGATTTGTTCCGTGGAAAATCTCTACTTGTTCTGTATCATTCTTGAAAATCAAACACTTATAGCTCAAGTTTGCTCTGGAAAATCATAAGTTTATGTATGTTGTTACTTTGCTGTAAGAACACTTGAGAATGGTTTCAATCTTTCTCACTTTTTTTTTTTGTAGTATTTAGATGAGTAAATGATTTCTTCTGCATTGAATCTTAGAACATATAAAACGCTGCGTTTTGAGTTCTTGTTGAAATATAACGGATTGGTCTCTTATCCAGGAAACTGATGAGTGAAATAAAATGGAGAACCTCTGTATACCTTTCCGCCATTGTTACAGCTCCTTGTTTCTTCATCAGTCACAGCAAAAACATCTTAGTAATTGTTCTTCGGCTTGTTTCTCTCTGGACATCAAACATGCGTCGTTTGAAACTACACCAATCTCAGTTTCTCTTGAACCGTCGTCTTCAAGTTGGGATCTTTTATCCCATGGATGCGATAATTTGGTTTCTGTTAAAGCTACTCATGCTCGGATGATAAGGTTGTTTGATCGATTCGACTTGGAGTTTATCGCCAAGTGTTTGATCTCTCGTTACCTTGAATTCGGAGAAGTTGGGTATGCTAGTGTTGTTTTCTTCCTGGGTTTTCCTCGGAATCAAGTTTCATGGAGGGATTTCTTGGAAGAAATCGAGAATTTCGGAGCAGAGAAGTATAGGGTTTTAGAGGAATTTGTTCAGCTACAGAACAATGGAGTCAATTTCGATGAAGTGGTTCTCGCTATGGTTTTGAGAATTTGTACTGTTCTAATGAATCGGTTTCTGGGTTTCACTATCCATGGCGGTTTGATCAAGAGAGGACTTGGTGATTTAGACACACGCTTGGTTTCTGCATTGATGGGTTTCTATGGAAGATGTGCGAGTTCGGATATCGCTAACAAGATATTCGATGAAATGCCTGAAAGAGATGATCTCGCATGGAACGAGATTACGATGGTCAATTTGCGGAGTGGGAGGTGGGAAATGGCTGTGAAACTGTTCAGGGAGATGCAGTTTTCTGGTGCAAAAGCTTATGATGGAACAATTGTTAAGCTTTTGCAAGTTTGTAGCAACGAGGGAGGTTTAGCAGAAGGGAGACAGATTCATGGGTATGTTCTGAGACTTGGGTTTGAATCAAATGTGTCGATGTGTAACTCCTTGATTGTCATGTACTCAAGGAATGGCAAGCTTGAATCATCCAGGAAGGTTTTCGATTCGATGAAAGACCGGAATTTGTCTTCGTGGAACTCGATTGTATCGAGTTATACTGCATTTGGTTATGTAGACGATGCTATGGGTCTTCTGGAAGAAATGGAGAGATGTGGTCCGAAACCAGATATAGTCACATGGAACTCTCTTTTGTCAGGTCATGCTTCTAAAGGCGGCTTATCTGGAGATGCCATTGCGATAGTGAAGAGAATGCAAATTGCTGGTCTGAAACCAAACACTAGCTCCATAAGTAGTCTTCTTCAAGCTATTGCTGAACCAGGGCTTCTTAAACTTGGAAAGGTAATTCATGGATACGTAATAAGAAATCAGCTTTGGTACGATGTGTATGTAGAAACCACATTGATCGACATGTATGTGAAAACTGGCTGCTTGCCTTACGCCCAAATGGTTTTTGATAAAATGGATGAGAAGAACATTGTTGCTTGGAATTCTCTCGTCTCGGGGCTTTCATATGCGGGTCTGCTAAAAGATGCTGAAGCTTTGATGAGTAGAATGGAGAAGGAAGGGATCAAACCTGATGATGTTACATGGAACAGTCTGGTTTTTGGGTATGCGACTTTGGGAAAAACTGAGAAAGCTTTGACTGTGATAGGGAAGATGAAAAAGAACGGGGTAGCGCCTACTGTGGTTTCATGGACTGCCATTTTATCGGGATGTACCAAAAATGGAAACTTCAGGAATGCTCTCAAAGTTTTCATCAAAATGCAGGAAGAAGGTGTCTGCCCAAACTCAGCTACCATATCCAGCTTGCTTAGTGTATTAGGTTGCTTGAGTCTATTATACAGTGGCAAAGAGGTTCACAGCTTCTGTTTGAAGAACAATTTGATCCGTGACGCATATGTTGCTACTGCACTTGTAGATATGTACACAAAATCAGGGGATCTGCGAAGCGCGTCTGAGGTTTTCTGGGGCATTGAGAACAAACCGCTGGCTTCTTGGAACTGCATGATCATGGGTTATGCCATGTTTGGGCAAGGTGAAGAAGGGATCGCGGTTTTCAATAGGATGCTTGAAGCAGGCATGGAATCGGATGCTATAACATTTACCTCTGTCTTGTCTGTCTGTAAGAACTCGGGACTTGTCCGCGAAGGGTGGAAATACTTTGATCTTATGAGGTCCCATTATGGTGTAATCCCAACTCTTGAACACTGCTCTTGTATGGTAGATATGCTTGGGAGGTCTGGTTATCTTGATGAAGCCTGGGACTTCATTCAAACAATGCCATTAAAACCGGACGCAACAATTTGGGGTGCATTTCTGTCATCTTGTAAGATCCACAGAGACCTAGAACTCGCGGAAGTCGCTTGGAAGAGGCTGCAAGTGCTGGAACCGCACAATTCAGCTAACTACATGACGATGATTAACTTGTACAGTAATTTGAACAGATGGGAAGATGTTGACCACATACGGGGCTCGATGAGGAATCACAGGGTGAGAATCCAGAATCTTTGGAGCCGGATTCAGATTGATCAAACAGTTCACATCTTCTATGCGGAAGGAAAAGCACATCCTGATGAAGGAGAGATATACTTTGAGCTGTACAAATTAGTCTCGGAGATGAAGAAATCAGGTTATGTGCCAGACACAAGCTGTATACACCTAAACGTAAGTGAATCAGAGAAAGAGAAGTTGCTTATGGGACATACGGAGAAGTTGGCAATAACATATGGACTCATCAAGAAGAAAGGCTTAGCTCCTATAAGAGTGTTCAAGAACACAAGTATATGTTCCGACTGTCACACCGTAGCAAAATACATATCGGTTTTGAGAAACCGCGAGATTTTCTTACACGAGGGGTCTCGAGTTCATCATTTTAGAGACGGCAAATGTTCCTGTAATGACTCCTGGTAATATAATATATAGATACTAACTAACTCTGTTTTTTCTACAATGGTGCTCAAATACAGACACTGTCCAACAAACACCAGAAAACAAATTACATCAAAACTTTAAAGGCCTGATATCGCCTATGGAGCTAATCTGAGCAAACAAGCATAGAAGCGTGACCACGTGTGCTTCTATATATACATGACCAGACTAAAGAATTTCTAAATGGAAGATTCAAAACACACTGGAACTGAGTCTGCAAGTGCGACACATCGGGCCATATCTTCAAAGATTGCGGTATGATTCTTCTCTCTGTATCCTTTGGAAGTTTTTCAGAACGTGGCGATGGAACTGGTTATGTCCTGAGCAGTCAATCTTTCAGAGACACAAGCCAAGGATTTGAGGTTACATTTTATAAGTGCTTCCACAAAGTAACATGTATCATCTTTGGTGTTGCCTTCAGGAACATCAACAACAAAAGATTCAATCACCATAGTTCCCGACCTCCCATCGATCATTTCCGGATGTACAGTCAGTATCGATGAGTAATTCTGTCGAAGAAAACAATCATTACAACACTTGCAAAAAGTTTCCAAATCTGTTGAAGAAGCTACAAAAAAGATTTAGGAGATTGATTAATTTACCCTAAGTCTGTGATCACCACCAATGATGTTGATACCGAGGATGCGTTCTTCATCATCAAGCTGTTCCAATCTCTCTGTACTTGTGGTTGCAGGAAGACCAGATCTGACATTTACTTCTCTGAGACTACCAATCTCAGGATCACCATAAACAGTGCATCTGCTTATAAATGGTTTGTATTTCTGCGGCTGATCAAATCTCCGCACCAGTGACCAAACCTGAGTCATGTATATACACTATCTTTAGCTTTACGAATACCAAAGAAAAAAGTAAACAGAACCCGAAAAGTCTAAATCGGAACTCTAAAATCCGACCAAAATTTCAGTTCACAAATGGAAATAAACTTTTAAAAAACGGAAAATTAAGCAGATCGGGAACTCTAAATCCGGTGAATCGGAAAAATCGAAAGGAAAGAAACTGGAAATTTGAAGAGCAACGTACTAGATGAACAGGAGCTTTAATGTATTTGACAAGAACAGAGGTACACTGATTCTCTCTGCAATGGTGGCGATGATGCAACCGTAAGTTCTGCGCCGTCACGAGAGCTCCGTACATCTCCGTATCGTCTCTGATCATCTCTTCCTTCATCTCCGATTCCGACCAAAATCTCTTATCTTCTTTCTTCTTGTCTTTTTGTTTGTTGAGGAATCTGGTTTTACGGAGGAGTGGATAAAATAGAAAGAAAGAAGAAATTAAAGAAAATGAATAAATAAGCTTTTTATGCGCGTTTACAAAAAGCTTTATTTATTTATTTTGTTTTGGTTGGTTAAAGGCTAAAAAATCAACGAACGCACCGACATATATTATTAACTCCAATGGATTTATGATGAACCGACAAATCTTTTAAATAACTTACGTGTCATGTTTTTAATGGTTTGTCGTCTGACCTTTTTGGATTAGTTTTTGCTTTTGACACGTGCAAGTCTCTCTTATCCAACCAAATAAGCTTTCCAAATTTATCTGTGCTAATCAGAATGGATACAAAAAAAACCCGGAAACACCAACACATTTATTTCTTTTACAAATGTCGAAAATTATCTGATGGTAAAGTTATTAATCTTCGCAAATGTATTTATCCATATAACACTTTTATCTCTACACCATTATCTTATCTAAAAAGTAGATGGAATCTTAGGATAATCTTTATAAGCAAGGATTTATAGCTGATGTCAGCATGAGATCACTATAGAACAGATAAGAATTGAGAAGTGTTGTCAACATGAAATAACCGGAAATGCAAACCGAAATTTTTGTTCGGATCACCAGAGTCAAATCGATTAAACCGCGATCCAACAAATTTCTCTATACACCCTCGAAAAACTATGAAGTCTATGCACAAAAAAAAAGGAGTCTATGATCAAACCAATTGTCTATCCGAGAAAACCAAATTCTGATTTGCTGAGTAACTGAACCAAACCGCTTTTAAACCAATTTGATTAAACGTCGTCCCACGTAACCGTCTTCATCACTGCAAACGCCTTAGCCATATCAGCTTTTGCCGTTTCCATTGTGGCATTCGCTTCTTGCACCATTTCAGCCGCCTCTGCCGCCATTTTCCCCGCGTTAGTCGCCATTTCCGCTGCGTTTCTCACCATTGTTTCAACCTCCTCCACCAATTTCACTGCCTTTTCCGCTATTCCTCCTGCATCATCCACCATCGCCGATGCCTTTTCCACCATTGTTGACACCTCCTTCACCATAGCTACAGAGAAACATTGGTGTCAAACCAGACCAGAATACCACCGGTTTCAGGTTCAACATTTCCAAAACAGAGAGATTGGCTACGAACAAACCTTTGGCTTTCTCACGTTGTTCAGTTATCTTTCCCTTGATCTCCATGGCTGTGTCGTAAACCCCAAGAGTTGGCTGGTTACACACAAAACACTTATCGTTCTCCATATCATGCTGCATCATGAAACAACAATGAAGCTCTGTTTTCTGTATACACCAAAAACGTAAGTAAGTTTGCTTATAAGAATCAATCATACCTTAAAACCACAAGTCTCGCAGAAGTAATGTTGGCATTTCGTCACAACAGGATTCAAGAATGGTTGATTGCAAATGGAGCATGTTAAAGGCAATGCATCGTTATCATCATCATCTTCTTCTTCCTTGAGTGTTTCTTCCTCTGTTTTCTCATAATCACTTGCAATATTCCTCCTTGTTGGCTTTTTTGTGATCCTCCTATGATTCTCTAACCAGCTTTCGTTGTCCGAATCTTCAGCAAGATCAAGCGCTCTCTTCTTTGAGTTTTTAGTCATTTCTTCTGGAGACTTAGATTCTATCTCAACAACTTGAGATTCTTCCGCAGGCGTTTTAGGTTCACCTGAATCTGACATTCTTGATCGAATCAAATCACCTGAAAAAAATCCCAAATACGCATCACGGATATCCTCTGAATCCAACATCTACCGATTCTAATCTCTATCCAATTACCGAATTCGTTTCTAAAATTAAACCAAGAAGACGAGATTTTAACCTAAGAAACATCAATTTTGAACCAGTGATTCACCTAAAGCAAACCCTAAGTTTACACGAAGCGAAATTCCAGTAACAGAGACGAAGAACACACGCAGAATTGGGAAAGATGTAATCGGAAACCTCATAGAACTAAATCGAAACCATCGGATCTTTCGATGGAGCTAAGGAATGTAGAATCAACCATATATCGAAAATGGCGGGAAAATCGCCGACGTCGAAAGAAGTAAAACAGAACGAACAGAGAGAAGAAGACATGGAAATAAAGAGAGCAAGAGATAACTAACCTCGACGTAAGAAGAAACCAGCGATGATCGGAAAATTTCGCCGGGAATAAGAACACCGACGGTGACGGTGACGAATTCTTCCGATTGTGAGAGCGACGCAGAGAAAAATGAAGTTGAG